TTTTTTTTTTTGAAATGTTCAAACACTGCCACATCAGCGTTGCAGTTATCGTGGGTTTTGGGAACTGGCGGCACGTCCCTGCCAAATATTCCGATTGGTCTCTCCCTTCTTCGACGTACGTCGAAGGAATAGAATTAATGACCATGTACATGTATATCCCTATTAACACGTTGCATTGATTGATTTCTAATTTCAAATTTTAAAACCAACATCGTACTTAGTAAATATTTTACCTCATGGATCAAAATAGTATGTCAAAGATTAACGCACATGAGCAAAACGAGGTTTCCTCTTGGCATACATAAAACACAAAGACAGTCTCATTAACTTGGCTGATCATAGAAATAAATCACTACTGGAAACAACAAAATACCTAGTAGTTCAAAACAAAGCTGGACCAGATATTGCAAAAAATATTGCAAAACAAGATTGGATATTGCATGACCATGCTGGGATATTGCATGACCATGCTGGGATAATGATTCTTTAAGAAGCCCCATGTGGCTCGAGTTTTGATCCCAAACGTCGGTTGCTCAAGTCAATTTAAGGAGATGTGCAAATTTCTTTTAAAAATAAGACAAGCACAAAACAAAGCCAAAAAAAAAAAAAAGACAGAAAAAGATAATTCAGCTAGACAACAATTTTTTTCTTTAAATGTCTTTAGTTGTGGATATTATAATTCCCATTATGAGGTAGACAATGAATGCAAATCTCATAGTAAATTTACAAAATATGACACAAGAAAATCAGCACGGTCAGTGCAGAGCATTAGTAACACCAATAATAAGGAAATATCTTGAAAATGTAAAAACAAAGTATCATCACGCTTTCTTGAATACTTACTCACGTTGAACGGATCAGCCATGCAGATATTGCTTTATGAAATAAAGAACCTGATTGAGTCGATAGATATAACATATTTACAAAAAAAGTTGTCAGACACATTCATGATTAAATATCGTTTTACTCTTCAATTTTGGCCTCCACACTCCACATGGATTTCTCCTTTAAAATTATCATGTCAGTACCGCTTTTCAGTGCTTTTTGTTTGAATGCTGTAAGGTACAACTTGAATGAGACGAAAAACTAAGTCGAAGCGGGCCAAGTTTTCAGAACTCCGAGACAAAATCCAGCTAAATAAAACTACCAATCCTTAGAGACACTGAGACAAGAAAGAAATCCTAGCACTAGGAAGGCCGAACAATATTCGAAAGATGCTTACCTGCAATACATAAAAGAATTCCTAGTGAAAATGTGACCACCATTTTCAGACCTATAGAGATTATCAGTGAAAAGCGTGCTTATGAGTAGGAATAACGATTGTAGAGTAGAATGGAACCTGTGTAGTGTTATTTATAGTTGCTTGGTGTTTGCGTGGTCCGGAAAAAACGGACAAAAAGAATTTCAGAAAAGCATAAACCAAACAGTAATCGGGCAGGAAACAGACGCAACTTCCTAATCAATTTCAAGCCTTTTTCACTAAGCTTATTTTTTTCAGGTAGCATATCGTGCTAGCTAAGTACTTCCAAATAGCGTGTCGCTTTAGGCAACACTGAGAGTTTCTAAATCTAGCGCTGAAAAATTTCGGTGAATAGAAGTGCGTTCAAGGGTTTCAGTCTTCTTTTGTTAAAAGCCCCACGAGGGATCAAAGGAGGAAAAAGCGAAAACGTCTAAGAAATTTCATTTTCTGCAGTTATACAAGTATTCAGTGCACAACTAGGTGAAATGAATTATTCCACCGAGTTTTATAAAAAAAACATTATTACATAACCAACCCCGTTGGACATACAATTCGCGTCTAAATTAAGCGAAGGTCGGTCCAAGATCAATTGAAATTACGATAGCTACCGCCTTTTGAGTATAATAGGAAATAAACCTTGCAAATTACGAAATTGAAGTTGTTGAATGTAAGGCTGACTTTAATGGTCAGTAGATTACAGATGACTGAGTCTGTAATGTAATTATTTTAGTCGTGTGTTCTGTTTGTGAAAGCGTGATAATTATTGCCTAAAACACTGGAGGGGGCGATATCGCCATACAATACGCGTTTAAAAGTAAATGGAAATTACGTTTTATTATTTCGCCAAAGAAGCTTCGTCCATTAGCGCATTTTGGATTGTGAGGTTTATGAACAAAATTCAGTTATTTCTGGCCGGTTAATAACTGCACGACATTGATAAGTGTAAGGCATGACCACTCTACAAAGCCTCCAACAGGTTACAAATCTGATATAACGTTGTTTCAAAGTATCTTTAAATTTGACGATTTATTGGTGAAAGTATCTCTGTACCTGCCGCAAATGTAAATCTGAATATCCTTCTTGTATGGAGAGGAAAGTTCAAAAGGCAAGGGATGACTAATAATAGACAACAATAAGTAACAATAAGTAAGTTTCATTTAAAACGAAACCAAAGCCTTCTTTAAACAAAATTCTAGTAACCTGTAATAAGCTACTAGATTTTTGATTAAAGAAGGCGAGAGATTTCGGTCATTATTTTACAAAAAATCCAATTACTTCAATGTACACTAGAAATACAGTACTATTAATGAGTGAAATAAACATTAAAATATGTGTTTTTTAAAATAATTGGTTGGTGGTGTAAACAAATTTCTATATCCCTGCCTTTAGAATGGTCGTTTCCTACAGTAAAATATTTACTATTTTAATTTTTCAGTTATATAAACATATTCGCAACCCGATGTTGGCAAAGAAAACAAGAAATCATATCCACGACCTTCCTGCTCTTTGAAGCATCGAATCAACAGCATGCACTGGGCTTAGAAATCAGGACAAACTGTCAAAATTGCAAGATGTCTCTTAACGCACCAGTTTTTTCGGCGGCTGAATTCAGGAATAAAAAACATATCGTGCCAAAAAAATTGTCCGAAACTAATACTAGTTTTAAAATATTCTTTTATTAACCGAACTCTAATTTTCTTACACTAAAATGTTCTTACAATAATACGGTTTTCTTACAATAATATTACAGTACTGGTGAAATTACTAAAAAGAGCTTAGGTAGTCCAGACTCACACCGTTTGTTTCGTCTATACCGAACAAAGTTTTTCGCAGCAGTGCATTGTCGGGCCATTCTTAGATCACCTTGTTACTTTTTTTAATGGAGAAAAACTTACGTGAGCTCATTTTAAATTTCCGTGCTGGTTGATTTGATTATAAAATTACAGGAAAAAAATTGATTGATAGCTTTCTAAGGCCGCCATTTCTTTTATTGTTATAATGTGTGCCATTAACCAGCAAACGTCACAATTCTAGATCTTAATCTTATCGGAGTAATCCTTTTTTCTGATCACTCACTGCGATAAGTGGCCCTGCAGGGTCTGTTCCCAACGCGCTTGCCCGACAAAAATAGCTCGGCAGTGCGTACATCGGAAGGATTACATTTAAGTACAACTTGATCTATGACACAAGGTTTTGTTTCTCAGCGACTACACATCAATCCGTTTTGGAATCAGCCTACGAAAGTCGATTAATTATACCAACGTGTACGAGAACCGAAAGTGTTTTTTAGTGTACATTCATATCTCATAAATATTTCATATTTAGAGCACTTTTATTGCCGATATATACATGAATGAATACAGGCAATTGAGAAAAATACAATTTAAATAAAGCCAGAAGAGTGTGCTAACAGATGGAAAGTTGTCTAGTGTGAAGTCCACTTGGCCTACTTTTTAAATATTAAAGCATTTTTCAAAGAACAGGCTGGCTACAGTGAAAATTTGAACGTCTTCTACTTCACTATTAACTGCTGAATTGATATATGGCCAATGACAAAAAATTGTATTAATAAGCTTGTATATTAAAACAATGGTTAAATCTTGCATTCAGGGTAAAATCAACTCTTTAGATAGTATGTTCTGCTCTTTCGATTGTATATAAGATCTTATGAAAAACTCTAGAAATAAAGCGCCTCTTTTCATCTTCTGATATACGCTGTAAGTGTTCTCTGGCTTTCAGTTTTTGCGTTCGTTATTTTTGAAAGAGAACTTGAAGTACTGAAGTTTAGTTGATACAGCGAGGAAGGTGTGTGCATGTGATTTAATCAGTTGTTCCACATACGGGAATATCTTTTTCACAATATTTGCCTCATTAGCATAAACGCTTCATTTTCTGATCGGGCAACAAAAATGTCAGCTTGGTCTACTTCAATAAAGCATTTTTTTTTTTTATAAAGGGGCAGATATTTTTAATAACTGTATATGAATTTAGTTATATTTTAAATCTCTTTTTGTATTTATACTTTTAGATTTAGGTTTTTGATATTTTTGCATATTTCATATAACTAATATCATACTAACATTAGGGTGATGCGGGTTTAAAATCTCAGCATTTCACAAAGAATTGATCGGCGCATTAGTGCTTTTGCCATCCAGGTTACCTTGCAATGTGATATTACTTAATAATCTAGAGAGAAAGTCAAAACAAATCTTCGAAGCAATTTCCCAGGCTACCCCAGAGAAAGTAGTACCCATTCCACTCTCTGCCAAGAGTCAACTTTTGTAGACCGCTCCCGACTTTATGTGAATTACACTTCGAGTAAGAACACGGGAAACGTAACGCCAGGCAGGCTTATACTTCGGTAATAAACTATATTCAGTCACGTGAATGATGCCCAAGACGATAGCGTGGCTTAGTAGACTGAGTAGCGGTTAATTCTTCACAGCAGTGCATTCAAGATCATATTTTTAATCACGGAACTCAACAATATCTATAGTAACCGCTAGATGTACAGTCCCACGGTTAAATCGTGTTGAAGCTAAGGTTATTATCAAATGTTCCAGTCTAATCTCTGTCATGTTTCTCAGAAGGCTGTAGAGCTTGTAATGACGTGAGCGAGGAGGTCATAACAAGGAGAACCCCCATATGTTTAATTTAAAATAGACTAAGACTACGTTCTGGTGATTGATTTTACGTGCAGGAAATAAGCGTAGACGATGAAGTCCGATCAAAGACTAAATTAGACAAGCTCCACTGATCTCCATTGGATCATCCATTTGCAAATTAGAATGGGTAGTGTTGTGGTTTCACCGTTGATCCCGCCCAAGAAGGGAGCAGCTTTTACCCGCGACAACGGACCAAATTAATTGTTTGAAAAATAAGATGCCCCTTGGATACGGTAATTATCAATTGAATAGTTATGTAACAAGCGAGTTCGCAACAGTTCGTGGAGGGCCATACTTTTGAAAGTGAGTGATGAGAAAAATGTATTACTCCGATAAGGTTAAGATTCAGAAACGTCGCTTGCCTAATAACGGATACCTAACTGTCATAAAAAGGGAAAAAGCAAGGCTTTAGAACTGCTAACGAACCAATTGATTCCTCAAATTCAATAATTAAATTAAGTAGCCCGGAAATTTAAAAATGAACTTATCAGTCTATTTATGAAAGAACTTGTTGGCCTCAAAATGGACTATTAATCCACCGCTGCTACAATTCGTTAACGCTGTGTTTGGAAAATACGACATATAGCAAGTGGGTATTGACAATCCATATACATTGCGGAGTTCATTTCGCATAATTTTTATCATTAGTTAATAATCTCTAAAAACCTGTTGCTGAAAGACTTATGCCGGGCAAATTATCGTGGAATTTTGACTGATGGTCTTAAGCTCCATATCTGGTGTAACACTTTTGAACTTAAGTTAATGATTTATCTTTATAAACCACCTAAAGTTAATGAACATCATTCTTTGCCAATACTAGCGGACGTCAGATTGATAATCGAAGATCCTACTGAAATATCGTATTATATTGGTGTAATTTCAAATAAAACTGTGGTTTTTTAGTGGTCTAGGATATTCAGATAGCTTACACCACAAACCCGCACTCGGTACCTAAATGAGGAATATCCTTTTTATGGTTATTATACTTATTACTATTTCCAGAATCTAGACAAGTCGTTGAATTATTTTACGGTTTAAAAACGAACAAACAAACAAACAAAAGAAAAAAAACAAACCTCGATTGCTTTGCCTTTTTAAAGTATAATTCAAATAACTTGTTGCTTTTCGCTTGAAAATGCAACGTTGTTTAATTATTGGCGACTCTTCATTGTTCCTTGCTTCCTTCGGCTTTCCATCTTTATCAGTCAGTTCTCGCTTGTCGATATTAAATTGTTAATGACATAGGAAGCAAATTTAGATTCATATACGTTACGGCTACCTACAATAACAGAAATTTTCACGAAAAGAAAGCTAAAGAAAACATACTATGAAAAGAGATTAGATTTATAACCTGCAGCGTTCTTTGTAGCAAGGTCAAGCATTACTCCTTAATCAATGTCGTGCAGTTATTTCCCGGCCTTGAAATAATTTTGCTCTTAAAATGTTCACTAATGGATCATGGTACTTCAACGACATGCTAAAATAAGATTCACTCTCCATGATTTCTACGTATTTTCGTTTGACGTGTACTGTGCAGTAGTATTATGGCCTCTAGTGTTTAGATAATTATCAGGCTTTCACACGCAAAATACAATACATTGCTCAAATAATGATGTCACAGATTGTGTCAACAGTAATATATTGACCATTAAAGTCCATTAAAATGAACTTGTATTCAACAACTTTAATTTCGTAATTTGCCAGTTTTTGTTTCTTACATTTACTCAAAAGGTGGTAGTTAGCGTGATTTCACTTTGCGTTAGATCTATTTTTCACTGTCGAAGCCAAAAATGTTCTTTTTTTTATCTAAATCAGTGGCATCTAATTTGGTTCTCCCTCCCTATATATTATTACAGAAATTAACCTTTTAGAAGTATCCCTCTTTTAATGATCTGTGACTCGTGTTAGGATTTTTAACCCCTCGATAATTAAAACATTGAAACGTCAGACCTATTTCCTGTCGGGAGTAGATTTAGAGCCACGTTGCGCTTTTTTGCCTAAAGCGAAACGCTATTAGACCTCCTTAGCAAAAAAGAAAACTACGTTCAGCTTAGTGAAAAATACTTCAAAATTAATTAGGAAGTTTCGTCTATTTCCTGCCTGACTTGTATTTGGTTGGTGCTTATGAAATCCTTTTTGCACATTTTCCCCGACCACGCAAACATCAACCTGCCATATAGGATGATCCATCCGATTCCACAGTAACAGTAATTACTGCATTGGCTGATATCACTATGGGTCCGAAAATGTTGATCACAGTTTGGCTGGGAATTCTTTTATGTATTGCAGGTAAGGATTTTCATTTTGGGTCTTGTCTCCCTTTCTGCTACGATTTTTGTCTTTTAATTTATCTGATTTTATAGAGTTATTCTTCAAACTTGTGCTTTACGTCTCAAACGTTGTTATGTACAGCATGACATATTCCTCTCGGTTTTTTGCATTCACCTGTGACTCTCGGAAGAGTGGTTTCCATAAGATTACAGCGATCATTACAATGAGCTCCTTTTCAGTATAATCGCAATGACCGCTGGACTTTTCGTTAAATGATGAATTATCGCCTGAGCGATCATTTAGAAACCAGCCTTTCAAAGGTTGGTATCTAGATCGCAGTTATTAGATACAGCAGCAACCACATCACTCTACAATTCAATAATATGGAATATGTTAATTACTGTGTTTATAGATGTTTACATTACAATTTCTACCCCAAGAATCTTAAGGATTTTTTTTACTGAGCGTTCTAGGGTCTACTCTCTTAAAGGAACTGATATATTCTCACTGTGTAAACCTGCTTCCACTTCTTATGGTCTTCACTCGTTTTAAGTATTTCGCATGCAAAACTTGGAACTCTCTGTTTGAGAACATTAGGACGGAGCCTACTTTAACTGCTTTCAAAAGCCTCGTGAAAACAGTCTCCTTTCAGGCAAGATTGCTCATTACTATACTAGTCTTTAAAAGATAAATTTTTATAATGTAGATAAACGTAATAGTGAATCGTAGCTCTTGTTGTTTTTATATTTACAATGTTACTTTTCTCGAAAATATTAGCTTCTTAGGTACTCTGTAAATTCGAGATAAAATAAAGTCATATATGTATATGTATGGGACGCAAATTTTAATCAATGATTTCATTATTTTCTTACATAGCCATGGCTACTAATTTCAACTTGAACAATTTGAATGTTTAGTTGCATAACATTATCTCAGAACGGCATGTAATATCCGAATTTATTTTGATCCATTGGGCATTTGTTTCACAGTAGTACATCATTTCCACACCTCGCAAGGCGATTGAAAGTATTATTTGTTTCCTTTTTGTTTTGGCGACATGTACCGCCAAAGTTATGAACCACTTTGTTTGATTTTGATGATTTGATGTTTGAGATAAGAGCGGAGCCCCCGCGCGCTAAAAATAATTGATATTATCGATTTGTTTCACGTATAGGAACAAGCTTGGTAACTGCTCAAAGTCATTACCCATGGTTTGGCCAAAAATCAAATCAGGGCCCTGCCCCTGGTAAACGATCAGCGATCCCAAGAAACCTTGAGGCACGAAACTTTATCCGGGGGGAGACATTATGGAAACGGGTGAACCGCCAGAGATACGATGAAGACCGCTGACCACCGAGCCGTCTGCCAAACGTGCGAGCCAAAACAACGTTAACTTATAGACACTTATACATTGTAAGAATAAAAGTTAAAAGATGTTGGCAATAACAGATTTAAGAGAAGCAGTGTGTCTCATGGTAACGCTGTTGTAATGTTCTATTATGAGGTGAATAAAGTGAGTTACACTGTTCACAAGACGCCATTACATAACATAGTAAATGGTTTGAACAGAGGAGTATCAGTAATTCGGCTTGCATGATCGTCTGGGTGAGGGAAGTTCTGAAATGAAATGTTGTTGGTGACAATTACAGTTCTTTTCAGAACTACCTTCACCCAGAAGATCAGTTTCGCCACAGATGTAGGTTGTTGTTAGGAACGGGGTCCATAGGTGAGTGTAGGACGGGAGTAATCCACAAGTTTGATGGGGACTGAAATCTTCCACGCACCCGAAACTATCCGCAATTTGATTTAAACTACCCTTTTAGAGGGAGGCGCGATGGCCTTGAGGTTAGTGCGCTTATCTCCGGATCGAGCGGTCCGGGTTCGAGCTCTGGACGGGGACACTGTGTTGTGTTCTCAGGCAAGACACTTAACTCTTACAGTGCCTCTCTCCGCCCAGGTGTATAAATGGGTACCAGTGAACTTACTGCTAAGGGTAACCCTGCAATGGACTAGCATCCCACCCAAGAGGGAGTAGAAATACTCCTGGTCGCTTCATGCTACGGAAACCAGGATATGCTCTGGTCTGATGGGCCACTTAGTTCGTATGCAGAGTTTATCTACCTTTACCTTGGATCAACTTTCCTCTAACGGCTTACAGTTTCCACCAAACTTAACGTTTTAGCCAAAAGTTTGCCTTCAGGATTTCCTCGACAGTTCAGATGTAAGGGCTAAACGAGACAACTGTGTCACTGAGGATGAACAACGGTTACTGTCAAGATATTTTGATAATTGAGTGATTTAAAGAGATTATGGATGAGTGTCAGCCTTAAGCATTATAAACGAAAGAACAAGCTTAAAATTTGGCCTGTAGGCAATTTTAAAGCTCCCATTCGATTTTGCGTTCATGAATATCTCCTCGCACGCCCAAGGGAAATTCCCTTTCATAATTCATAATTCATAATTCATAATTCATAATTCATAATTCATAATTCATAATTCATAATTCATAATTTACCACTGACACAATTTAGTCCCAGCCCGTACCTCTCAATACTACCGTCAAATAAGATACCGATGCTAAGTTCTGTTTGTTATTTTAAATTTACTGTTAATGAAATCTGACCGAAAGTTTTAGTTTTTTAAATTGTAACACGCGTAGTTACATAATATCTAAAACGATATAAGCGCCTGCGCTATTTACCCTTGCACTGATTTCTAACGTTTTATTTACTAGTAAGCAGAAATAACACAAAAACTTAACGCAAGCAAAACAAGTTTAAATTAAACTTCATAAGCATCATATTCCAAAATCGCCCTCGAACAAGTGATAAGGCATCCTTCGCTTTGTTGAAATTGATGTGACAGCTGATACTCGACCGGTATAGTTCAACTGATGTTCCCATACTCGCGGCTAATATCGATCTTTATCCAACAATGACTCTTTCAGAGTGTGGTGCAACCCGAACTGATATAGACCCTATTCATAAATGACTGCTAGGTAAAAATTATTTTGTAAGTATCAAAATTAGCCCAACGAACTTAGTTTTTGAGTTGATAATGCAAAAGAATTTTTACCCTCAAACGAGGTTATTTGGGCTAATTGAGATGCACACAAAATAATTTTTAATTGGCAACCATTTATGAATGGGTCTGTAGTTCAAGCCGAGAAATACTGGCTTGTGAGATACTTGTGAAATACTTGTGAGATACAGGCTTATGAAAGCGTGTGCGGTGCAACCCGCAACGAATTTTAAGCCAATAAATGTGGGCTTGTGAAAGCGTATTAGCTTCGGTGCAAACCGCACAAGCCAAGATGGCTTGCGTGAGCAATACAATTCCTGAATTGCCGAGGAAACCTGCTCAGCAACACCTGATTGAAATAACAAAGAATAATCTCGTTAGCCTTTCTCGAGGACAGTGATGTTAATTTCGAATAGCAAAACAGCACTACACAGCAATTGAAAAATGGAAAATAACTTACCTTGAGAACTGCAATCAAATCAGACAAAAAGTGGGCCAAAGAATCGAAAAAAGTTCTCTGACAACGAAATATGACTACAGACGAACTAAAAATGCAGCAAAGACCGCCTTTACTCGAAAACAATCGCGCGAAATACTAGTACCCAGTCTATCTCTCAGATTACTCATGCTCACAAAGATCTGTCACGTGACATCACGCCTTAAACCCACAAAATAGTCGCCGGCTATATGGAATTATGTAATAGCGGAACTCCGGCGAACCGAAGGGCCGCCAAGCGGAACCTCATACCCATATAGGAAAGAAAAGGAAACCCATGAATTGATTTTCTCATGGTTATCATGGCTAGCGATATTACTCGTGGGCGCGTACGCACGACGACGACGGCGACGACGACGACGGAGTCGCGCAACATCAAGTGGCGGCCATACCCTCGGTTTGTAGCGTCCCTCTTTGATATTGGACATCCATGTTATGGTCAATTGACACCAATCAAACAAGGTATCCGCTGACCAGTATCAAGTGACCATATCATGGGCTCAAGTTTAGAACTCATCGAGGTCACGTGTTTTTTTGAAGTTGACTGCTGACCAAGTGCTGGTTTTCGATTGGATCGCGTGCTCATGCCAAGTTAACTTGTTGAAAACGGGGCTGGGTTGTTCGGAAGCCGGTTAACGCTAACCCAGGATTAAAAGTTAACCGAATTATAACTTTATCTTCTATACAAATGTTTTTCGCCGCTTTATTTTGTGTATATTGTGATTGTTAAAACTCAAAACAGAAGGCCAAACAATATACAGAAAACCTCACTGCAAAGTTACAAAACTCAAATCAAAATTCTACTTTATCCTGGGTTAGCTTAATCGGGCTCTGAACAACCCGGCTCAGGAGCTACGCTTTTAGGCTGAACTAAATCTATGTATTATATCGCATAATCCCACAACAAAGTTAAGTTCATGCCTGTTACCTTAATTTTCTACTTTCAGCCTTGCAGAACCAAGAGCCTTTCGCTTTGATCGTGCATAACCAGTGTGATTTCCTTGGGAACAATGCTAGCTTTACTGTAATCTTTTGTTGCCCTGATGTAATCCTGCAGTGGCAAGATATTTGCAGAAGAGCCAGTGTCAATTTGAAATGTTACTAATGCTGAACCATTCAAAGTGAGCGAAACAAGAGCGTGATCTTCCCCACTACTACTATGAATGTAGAGGACTTCTTCTTGTTCAACCATGTGAACTTTCATGCATCTTCAGACTTGCTTCGACACGTGACTTCAAAATGGCCTTCTTTGCCGAACTTACATTTCTGACCCGAAGCTAGCTGGACACAATTTCCTTTCAGATGCATTTGCACCACCACAGAACAAACACTCTTTAATCTTGGGAGAGTCCTTGCTGGGAGGTTTGCGACGCCAACTTTTCCCGCGCTTGGGTTTCGACTTTTGCCCCACTGCATTAGATCTCTGTCGCTCGCGAGTGAGTAACTTGAATTGCTTTGATAGTTTCGATGGTTTAATTTAGGTTGAGGTCTCGCTTTCCAAGAAGCATTTCACAAACTCTGTCGTCCTTTACACCAAGAATTAGCCGGTCGCGAACGAGCGATACACGCAGCGCGCTAAAACCACACGACTCTGAGAGCTTCATCAACGCAATTATGTAACTATCAAGAGATTTATTTGACAGTTGCTCACGTTTGAAGAAAATATATCTTTCTCAGGTTTCGTTAAGTGCAGGAACACAACTCTCCTCTAACTTTTCCATAGCCTTGTCAATTTTTAGAGCGTCCAACGAATTTTCCCATTGAAATCAATAATAAACCAAAGCTGCAATTGTCGACCTCCCGGTGACTCCTCACAATTTAAATTCTAAGCCCTTGAGCCGAAGGAAATAGCGGTTGCGCTGTCTAACTTGGACTCTACCAAGAGCACAGGTCACGACCTAATACCACTTAAGATCTTAAATGTAGCGAGCAGGGAGCTTTCTCATCCCCTGGCTGACTTATACAACCACTGCATTGAATCTTGCGATTGGCCATTGCAATGGAAGAAAGGTGATTGGGTACCAGTGTTTTAACAAAGACAATAAACAAGATATCAAGAATTTTAGACCTGTCACAGTACTAACAGTGATAGGGAAGGTCTTTGAGCAGTTACTGAGCAAACAGCTGACATCATTTATTGACCCTATGTTAAGCAACAACCTAACCGCATATCGAAAGAATCAGAGCTGTGAAACTTCCCTTATTGGATCGGTAGAAAGATGGAAACAGGCTGTTGATAACAGGAACGTTGTCGGAGTCTTGCCCACTGATATGTCAAGGGCATTTGATTCGCTGCACGCTCCCTTACTAATCAACAAACTGAGAGCATACGGTTTCTCTAACGACTCACTAACCCTAATGCGATCATATTTCACAAATAGGAAAAACAGGGTTAGGATCAGTCAAGAAACAACAAGTGATCGGTACGCTACCGCGAGAGGATGTCCCCAGGGATCGGCCTTCGGACCTCTTCTTTGGAATGTTTTCCAAAACGATCTACACCTCGCCACTGATGAAAACAGGTTATTTATGTATGCGGATGACCACCAACTGTTTTCAGTGGCGAAGACAACTAACGAAGCGGAAAGCATTTTAACTGAGGAAGGAAACAGCATCTCTGAGTGGTACAACTGACAACAACTTTTTACAAGGAAATTTTTCAAAGTATCAGGTGATGAGTCTGGGCCCGAGGAACTGTCATAAGGATTTACACATTGTTATTAATGACACTGTAATTGATCAGAAACCAGAGATAATGCTCTTAGGGGTTACCTTAGACGATCAACTATCATTTTCGAGTTATGTGAGCAGTGTTTGTAGAAAAGCCTCCTGTCAAACTGGTGTTCTTCTGAGATTACGTAACCTCATTCCGATATCAGCTAAATAACACATTGTCAAATTTGCTATACTACCTCATCTCACATATTGTCAGGCTGTCTGACGTTTTTGTCGTACTTCTGATGCCAGAAAACTAGAACGAATTCAGGAACGAGCACTACGAGCTGTTTATTGTGACAA